AATGATTGTCTTTGCAGAGTCTAACCACAAAACTTCTATGCCCAGCCCAGATCATCTTCCCCTTTAATTGCATGCAAAATGCATGACAGGTGGTACAAAGGAAGGAGTGAAATTGCATGAAACTTATTATCACCTTCACGAGAAAAATATCCATGATCAATAAACGACATCACGTTTTGCTTTCATTAAAAACGACTTTTGATTCCAAATTGCAGTCTCAAATACCCGTTACGACTCCCCGTCTCTTTGTTACGACTCATCACATGATCCTTACGCTACTCTTGGGGCTATAAAATAAATTATTTTTTTGATAATTGATATATAACTTTACCATTTTTCCGTCAAAAGATATCAGTAAAAAGCATAAAAGTAATATATAATTCAAGTCATTTTACCCATTTGCCCTCCATAACAATTTCTTTGTCAGATATCTCTCATTGGGAAGCGTGAGCAGGTAAAAAACATGTACATGTATATGTACGCAAAGCCCGGTAAATTTTCTACATTTTTGCTGTCCACGTCAACTATGTGAGTGTGGGAAATGTGCCCCAAAAAAAGGTGCAGGTTCACTGAAAACGCCTATATACATATATAATAATATTAGACATTTAATAGATATTATAAATAGGTTTTTTTTTTTTTTTTTTTTTCCTGTGGTTCCTCACTATTTTTAAAAGGAAATTTTTCTCATCATAAAAAGTTAAAGAATTAACGTAATTGATTAAATGTTTAGCGTAATTCTCTTAATAAGGGTGTGTTTAGTTTGTTAATTTAAATTTTTAATTTGAGTTAAGATGTGACTTTATGTGAGAGTTTTTTACAATAAAAAAGTTAAATGTGATTATTTTTTAGAGCTTTTTACTGTAGTAAAACTCAAATTTTAAACTCGAATCGGTGAAATGAACGGATCTAAATTGTAAGAAATATTATTTTAGAAATCATAAGTCATTTTTAAGCATATGACAAATAAAACATGGTAATGTACTACTCCAAAATAAATGTTCATGTATGACCGGATGTGCCTATTAAAAAAAGAACATGACAGATGTAATTCTTTACGATAATATTATTTAGGTTTAATATGACAATTGATTACGATGAAATGACTGGTTTTAACAATAAAAATGATAGTCATTTGTTGATGTATTTTTTAATATTTTTCATATAATTATTTATGAAAGATATACATGACGGTCGTTTACTGTTATATATTTAAAAATAATTTTTAGTTTTTAACATAATAATTATTGCGACTCAATATAAAAAAATTACGTTAAATGTTTAATCAATTACGATTAACATATGAGCCGTTACAGCGCATATAAGGGACTTGTCTCCATTTTCAAACTAGAGGGCTAAACAACTACTTATAAACATATAAGCCTCGTTCACTTCGCGGATTTGAGTTTTCAATTTGAGCTGAGATGTGACATTTTTTAAGAGCTTTTCACTGTAGTAGAATGCTATGTTCACCATGGGTGAATGTGGCATTAGATTTCCATGTAATTATAAAGGCATGCGGATTTAAATTTTTAATTTAAGTTAATATGTGATTTTATATGAGAGTATTTAACTGTATCAAAAAAATTAATTGTAATTTTTTATAAAAATTTTTAATTATATTAAAATTAAAATTTAAAATTTAAATCGGATGTCTCATTCACTTTGCGAATTCGAGTTTTCAATTTGAGTTGAGATATGATATTTTCTGAGAGCTTTTTACTGTAGTAAAAAAAAAAAAAATTAGATGTGATATTTTTTAAAAATTTTTTATTATAAAAATCTAAAATTAAAAATTTAAATCGGTAAAATGAACGAAGCCTAAAAAGTACAGCGCAGAGGCTAGAAGAAAGGCCTACAAAGCGGAGAAGTCTCCAGCGAATTGTCTAATCAAATCACATTGGAAAGAAGAAAAAATAAAAGATGATTTTTTTTAAAAAATGAAAAGATTTTTTTTTTATACTTATAAATAGACATACAAACTTCACGGAGATACTCATTCAACACATTTCTCAAATCTTACGTATTTCTTACTCTTTAGTTTACTTTAGAGCTTCCCAAAGGGAAAAAAACACTTGAAGGTTATAATTTATTATATTTGTTGTTAATTAATTTTGTATTGTTACAAGTTAATTTAATTGTATAATTATTAGTTTTATTAATGATATTACATATTAATTAATTGTTATTTTTTATTGAAGCAATAGATCATTACATGAAAGGATGTTTCGAATTTGGTGATTAATGAAGAAGAACAATTAGAACTGAATCATTATCTTAAGTTGGTGGTTCTTCTGAAGTGACTTGTAAAGGCAAAAGTAACGTGCAACGAACTTTATCGATTTAACTTTGATGGTATTATTACGAGCCAACTTTTGAACTGTTAGTTAGTGACAATCACCACCGCTCACGTCATGTTTAACTTCACACTTTTTGCAATGCTTCTCTAAGGAGATGTTTGTGTAATGGATTAGAATCATAATATTAGAATTATTTTTGATTTATGTGTATGTTTTGTGAGAAAAAATACTGTAGCGAATAATGAATTATGATTCGAATCGATATATGAATCCCCCAACCAAACAAAAGTGATCAATATTAAAAGAGGATTTATATGTGTAACTTTTCCATTCATTTTGCTTATTCGAGTTTAGAATTCGAGTTTTGCTACAGTAAAAAGCTCTAAGAAACAGTCACATCTAACTTTTTTGCTACAGTAAAAAGCTCTCACACAACATTACATCTCAACTCGAATTAGCGAACCGAACGAGCCCAGTTTGTACACTTTGCAAATTGCACACTCTTCCATAACACCATTCTTGTTTGGACGCTTTACAATATCAAAATAATTTCAAACCGGTGAAGTTCGTTGCACTTTCCTTTCAAAGGGAGTTAACAATAACAATCTCAGCATTTTCGATATGAAGAACCGCATTCAAGTTTCCCATACCAAAGAACCCCTCTTTTTTTACGTCAATCTCGCCAAGGTACGCCATCTTTCCTCTATTTCTTTCTTTTTGCAATTCGTTTCTATTAGTTTTTCTTTCTTTATCTTTGGAATTCACTCTCTAAAGCCTGCTTGTGGATGCTCAACAAAGCAAATTCTGAATATTGTATTAAATATTAATTAGTCAAAAATTACACTTGCCCCTATGAAGAGCTTAATGTTTTCTTAGCAGAACAATGACAACTGTTCATGTGTTATCCCAACTAGGCCATTTGTTTCTATTGCGTTCTTTTAGCTACAAAGAGAAGCAATCAAAAGGAAATATGTTTCTTAAGTTCCATTGAATGTCATAAATAAATACTCATTGTTGTTTATGTAAATTGCGTTTGCAGAGGTACATGCAGTAGCACAATGAGGTGGAACTGTCTGTTCTTGGAATGGGTACTATTATGTTGATTTATTCTCGCTTTGCGTTTACATTGCCTGATTTTCCAAGTTTTGGACATGTAATTGTACTATTTGGAAGCCTTTTGTTTCTGATTCGGTAATTTTCATCTATCTACAGCTATTGCTACAGTTATTACGATTACTGGATCCTGAAGAATAATGGATTGGTTGTTGAGAAGAGTGAGATATCTACTATTATTAAACCAACCAACCCTTTTCTTTTCTTCTTTTATACGTTGTTTTTGCTTTTTTTATTATATCTTTTCTTGTGCAGAGATCATGACTTCAACTGTTGACATGAGGGAGAATGCAGCAGGATGGCCTTTGCAAAAGGCAAAGGTAAATTGTGTATATAATGCCTAACTAATCCGTAAAATGTGTTACAGGACGCCATGACATGAGGTCAAAAGTGCCTGATAATATTCTCTCGAGAACGATGCTATTTAGCACCGACAGTGCTGAGTATCATCCAACCGCTAACAGAGAATGAGTCCTAGGATCATATTTCTTGGCATTTGCTGAGGTGATCTGCTAATGTTCACCTGCCATTACCAGGATCATATTTCTTGGATTCTTGTAAAATTTATCGTGTGAATCTTGGATTCTTTTCAGCTTTCTATTTCGGAAAGTGTGAATCTTGTTGCAAGTTCTATAGTTGTCTTTGTGAACTGCCAAAAAGTCTTTTTGCTCCCGATTTGTATTTATTTCTTTGTGGTGGAGATTGGAGCGTGGCTAGCTTCTTTTATAATGATGATGATGATAATAATAATAATAATAATAATAAGTTATTATTTGAATTTTTTTCAATATGTTAACATCTATGTTAATTTTTATGTTCGTCAAATCTACATAAAATCATATAAAAATTAAAAAATACGTAAATTTGATGATTAAAAAAACATAACTTATCAGACTTATTAGTACGTCAGGCGTATTAGAAAATTTTTTTTAGGGAAATAGTAGAAAATAGGCTAATTTGAAAAGCTTAAGAAAGTATATAGGCCAACTTTTAGTTATAGAAATTAATAGGCCATAATTTATCGAGTTATGTTCATAACCAGATAAGTTATGAATAAACTTGTTAAGTTATGGTTTATAACCAGACAAGTTATGGACAAAAATCGAGAATAACTTGTCAAGTTATAGTTCATAATCAGACAAGTTATGGACGAAAATAATAATTTGACCTATTTATTAACTTATGTAAACTATCGACCAATTAATTTTAATTCATCTCAAATCTTAGTCTATTTCTTTCTTTCTCCCTTTTTTTATTATTATTGTTGTTATTTTTGTTATTTTCTATGCGATTGCCTTAGGAGAATAATTGGACTCCTACTCCTGCATACTAATAACGTTTTGACCAATTGACTTTTTCCTTTTTTTGCTAAAACGTATTGGCAACTTTGACTCTTGACATGTTTTGAGGCAACTATAAGAATTGCAATGGAAGGAGCAACCCAATGATAGGGCAAACACTGCTTGGGCAAACACTGCTTCTGATCAAGTCAAGTCGCCTTAACAAAATCATGGCTGCATAATCCTGTAGCTCAGCCAACTAAGTAAGACCACATTCTCATTGTGGTTGACAAATTGAGCGAAGCTGCTTAAAGAAAAACGGGTCGCTTAAATAAACTCTCAAAAACACCAGTTCTAACCTCAAAAACAAGGCTCCCTGAACTGAGTTGCAAACAAAATCCAGCAGTTTAAATAAAAAAAAAAAAAAAAAAAAGAAGGGCAAAAATAAATAAAAGCCGTGTTCTCGAAAGCCTTCTATTTTTTTTCTTCTCTGCTACCAAGAACACAGGAGTGTATGACTTTCAATTTACTCTTTCAAATGAAACCTCGTCTATGCTTCCTCGTCGTTCTCCACCAAGATCCTCTTGCACGCCTCGTAGCACATGAATGAAATTCCTGCCGCAGGCACTAACTTCATGCAACTAGGACCAAGCCCTCTATATAAACCCTGAATCCCTTCTTGTTCAAGTATGCTTGCAAGTGCATGAAGAACATTCTTGTATACCTGCCTTCCACTTAAGGCCCCAACTTGCATATGTTTGCGAGCAACCTCGAGTGGAAAAGTTGCACTACTTGAGATAGCACCAGCTGCTGATCCAATGAGAAGTGTTTCAATGTTGCCGATCTTCTCTTGCTTGAAAAACTTCCGGTAAGCTTTCCGTAATGTGTCGTAAGCAAAATAATTGGTGGCTGCATACGGGATTACTCCGACAATACTTGGGGCCAGACCTCTGTAGAGTTCAGCAGGTCCCTCTTCTTTCACGATTTTTAAGAATGCATCAAGAAGGCCATTATAAACTCCTCTCTGTACAATGACAACAGTGTAGATGGTGAAATCACAATCTGGTTCACGATTGTTGAATGAAGAAACAAAGATCGTGGTATTTTCAACGTACTTGTATGGTTAGTCGCGTCTTGACTAACTCAAGGGGATATGTGCACAGCGTTGAGCTAACTCCAGCACAGGCCCCAGCAACTAACGAGGCAGGAATTGGGAGTTTGGGCTGTTCACCAGGTTTTGGTGATAAGTGCTTGTTCACTGTGTCGTAAGCAAAGAGCTGCAGAGACAATAGTGTAAAGGTTTAGATACAAAAAATGAAGTTATATAAATGTCTCGTAGAACACGAGGGTATGACGATGAACACATCCACAGATTATAGGTCAAACCCAAAGTTTCATTGCAAGCAGTTTCTCAGACACACCTTTCTTACCCACAAAATGTTGAAACAAATTCCACACATAATTATTCTATGGATTTCAAGGATCTTTGATATATTAAGGTAATCTTGTATTTAAGTACCAAAAGACAATGTCTGAGTCTAATTTCAATAAAGGCCAATCTTGTATTTAAGTACTAATTTCAATAAGTGTTACAGCCACCTTTGCTCCACCCAATTTCTTCAGACGTAATCAAACTTTATCAGATGCACATTCCAAAGATAAAGCAAAAAAGGGCCTATCCTTATAAGCATTTGTATCTCACAAGAAATCAAAAGAACAATAATAGCCTTGAAAACCTCAGAAGGAAAAAGTAACAAACAAGGAAACACAATAAAAAGCAACTCACAAAGCAGTTCCACATCCATGCAAACAAACACACAGGTCTGACATCAAGAAAACAGAATGAAAAATTCCATACTCTAAGCTTGGAAAAAAATAATAATAAATAAATAATAACAGCCAACAGGGTTTGGCACAAATAGTGAGCAACCAACAAGAAAAAAAAAAAGAAAAAAAAAACCCAAATAGTAAAAGCAATTCATTCACAAATTCATCAAGACAATCAACAATAAAACCTTCTACAATTACAAACCCAAATAATCAATTAACCAAAACAAACCAACAATCAAAGTAAGGTAAAGGCTGAGAATTCATCACCTCTATGGCCTTGCTCGGCGCAACCCGAATCACATTGACGAAATTGCCCCTAAACAATCCCATCCACCCATCCGTCTTCATAATTTCATGGAAAACCTCCGTCGTCGAGTGCCCACTGCTCCCGACCATCAGGTGCGTCCTTATGGTCTCCAGCGGCGCCACCGCGCTCCGCGACACCGCGCCGGCGATCGCGCCGCTTATCAGCCTCCTCAGCGAAGGATTCGACACCTTAATCTTCAATTTGAGGCCGCTGCCGTTCTGCTTCTTGCTCTTCTTCACTCTCTCCTCCTCCGAAGCCCCAAAAGTCCGAATTCCCTCGACGTACTTCACGTACAGGTCGGCGTACGGAAGCCGAACTCCGCCGCCGTCCTCGCCGCCGCCGCGAGGGTTCGGCGGGTTCGGATTTACCCCGCCGAAGCCGCTCATGCCGACCTGTCCGACGCTGGCGAATAAGCCGCCGGGGTGGTAACTCGCCTCCTGAGAAAACCCCAACCCGCAAACAGAGAAAACGACATCTTTGTTCCTGTCGTCGAATGGCTGAATCCCCCCTGTCTTACCCATTATCCAAACCCCGTGTCGGACGCTACCTTTCTTCTTCTTCTTCTTCTTCTATGGTTTATCGAAGGGGCTAAACGCCTGAATTCATCAATTTTGCAGCTTTTGAGAAGTAAATACGGGAATTTTAATAAATGGGGTTGAAAATATATGTTTTTTTTACACGGGGAATCTGGAAATATAAATAAATAAAACAAATATGAATTGGAGAGGGCCGGAAGGTGGAGAAGTGACAAAGGAATCCGACAGAGGAGGCGGCGACAGCGAGGGGAAGGAAAATCTGGAGGCAAACCTTTAAGAGAGAGAATGAGAGAGAGGAGAGAGAGGAGTAGGTGAACGATGTTGAATCTCTCTCTCTCTCTGTTCTCTGTTGGGGCGTCTGAGGAAAGTTTATATATGTGTATTTATGTGCGTGTGTGTGTATATATGTGTGTGTATATATGTTATACATTATATATTATATATATATGCGTGTGTGTGTTTGGATTGCTTTAGCTTTGGTTGCTGTCTGTTGGTCTCGTGGGAGTGTTTGAGAAGAGTTAGGTTTCGGTTTAGGGGAGTGACAAACGTCCTCTCTCTACCAAACAAAACCTAAGCCTTTGAGTCAACTAAGGAGTTTTTTCTGTTATTATTATTATTATTGTTATTATTTATGTGTCAGAAGAAGAGTATAAAAAATTTAAATAGAGATGTATAAGAAGAAATTATTTTAATGAAAAATTAGATAGAAATAAATATTTATAAGAGTTAATTTGGGGAAAGAAAAAAAGAGTGTGTATTAGGGAAAAAAAGATAAGAATGGAAAAAGGGTAAGACGAAAAAAGAAAAGAGAGAAAAAAATAGGTACGAAATATTTTGTCAGAGAATGAGAATTTAAATGAAATTTAAACAAAAATATGTATAAGAAAATTTTATTTCAGTAAAGAATTAGAGAGAAAAATATAGTTTAGAGGGAATTTTGGGGGAAAAGAAAAATATATAAAATAAAAAAGATAAGAATGAAAAAAAAAGAGGAGGCAAATAACAAAAGAGAGTAGGAAAAAGTAATAAAAGTAAAGTTTTTTTTTATAAAAAAAAATGAATTTAACGACACGTTTTGGGCAGAACATGAAAAAAAAAAAAAAACATTTACTTTTAGTAGATTGGGTATAAGATATTAGGATTATTATTTTTTTTTTTGAATTTCTTAATTGATAATGGCTGGAGAATTTTTTTCACATTTTGCTTTGGCCAAATAGAATCTTTTTTTTTTCTTAAAAAAAAAAAAAGAGGAATCTTCTCCGCATTGTTAAAAGAATATAATTAAAAAAAAATTCTCCACATTGTAAAGCCAAGAGCGTGTCCCCGTGTATTGCTAAAAGGAAAAGGGTTTTCTTGTCATTTAATCATAAGCATATATAGTATGGGGATAATCATATAAATATATGAGAGTTATTTTGTGTATTGCTAAAAGGAAAAGGGTTTTCTTATCATTTAATCATAAGCATATATAGTATGGGGATAATCATATAAATATATGAGAGTTATTTTGTGTATTGCTAAAAGGAAAAGGGCATTTAATCATAAGCATATATAGTATGGGGATAATCATTTATATGAGAGTTATTTTGGTCCAAGCCACAAAAGCCAAATTAATCAACATTTTTAACTTAAATAAAAAATCAATTTTTTAATTCTTCTATAAAAAAAAAGAAATATTTTATCATTATTGGTGAGACCCATGACGATAGGTTATTTGAGTTAAATGTGAGTCTAACAATTTATAAATAGGAATAGAGACAAAAATTTCAGGCCGTCTTACGTGACTCGGCCCTAAAGAATGGAAGGTTAGCCAGACTCTTAAAGCCCGACGGGTTTAGAGTCAAGCTGGGTTGGTATGAAATTTTATAAGAGAATTCTTTAAAAAAAAAAATAAAAGCACTTTGGGTCGGCCTAAAATAGTTTTATGCCTAGAGTATCCAAACCGATCGGAGGGTTAGGGTCGAGACTGGGCCAATAGTGCGGGTTTCGAACCGAACAGACCCAGACTTACAGCTTTATATAAGGATGACTTCACTTGCCAACCTGATTATTTGTCAATACCTAACCATAACGACATGGTGAACGAGATCTTTTTGGGCTTGAGTTGGGTTTGGGTTTGGGTTTGAAAGTTTCTACCCGTCATGAGTTCATATTTAGAGGCCTTGCCCTGTTTAATTTTATTCTTTTCAAAAAAGAGAAAAGACCCAAAATACCTTGTGTATTTTGTTAAAATATCATTTGTGCACTTTTTATTATGCAAATACTAAAAACACCCTATGAAATCATACTCAAAATACTTCATAAAGCAATCAAAATTTTAAAATACTACCATCATCCTTCTCAATCCATATTAAATGTTATCTTAAATATGACTTAATTATTAAATAAAAAATTTCAAAATGTTGAAATAAATTTTCAATCAAATAAATGCTTCAATTATTTTGAGAATTTTAAATTTTTTAATATAGATTTTATTTAATATTTTAGTTTAATAATGTTTTAATTTGTTTTTAATAAAAGTTAGGAACGATAATGTTGGTATTTAAAAAAAAAAATACCTCATGGGGTATTTTGAATACGATTTTATAAATACAAGGAATGTTCAGGGTATTTGTATAATAAAGGTGGCAAAACATGTATTAACTAAAATAGGGTGTTTTCCGTATTTTGCTTTAAAAATTTTTAGTATATTTATTTAATCGATATGTTGTAATATGTATTTTCTTTCTTCTTTATCTTTAGTGGTTAAATCTAGTTGTCTAATATTATATTACGGGGTCATTGTATTTTCATAAGGATTTTCAATATAAATGATGGTAAATTAAAAATTGAAATAATAAATATATATTTTAACGTTTAGTTGGAGGATTCAAACCATGTGATTTGAACTATTTTCAATTTACGTGAATTTTTTGTGAGAGAAAACACTGTAGCGAACCATGAATCATGATTCGAATCAGGGAACGAATCCCTCTACCAAACATTAGTTATTTTTAGTAAACTAGTTAAAAGATTACTCTCAGACTTTTGAAATTAATAGCGTGCAGGTGAACCGAAACCCTTAACATGGTGGGAAAAGGCTTTGCACCATTTTTAAAAACATAATGAGAAGATGGGATAATATAATATATTGTCTTCTCTCAAAGTTTAGAAAGAAAACGAATATGTTCCTTCTTTGCTTGGCACATGACTAGATCAAATTAATTAACAAAATATAAATCGGGGGACCGAGATTACGAATACAATTTCTGGGAAAAAATATTACAAGAATTATAATTTAGGAATAATTTTTGTAATTAATCCTTAGGGTTATGGTTCTTTATGTTGATTTTGCCGTCCATATTGTTTCTCAAAGCTCTATATGAATTCCAAGAATTGTATCTTGAGTAATGCAAAATGATACGTCCACTTACTTCTACCATTTCGATTTGTTTTATTGGTTTAGCATAACAAATCCTAGTAAGAGATGTTGGTGATTTCTGTTGGGAATAGTATCCTAGAAGCATGAGATGTAAAAAGATATTTATTATTTATTTAATAAAAGAGTTTATTCATCATTTTATGTGCATATATTTATGAATATTTTATGAATATCAAATAAAATTCCTTGATTATTTATGTAACCTTAAACATGGTATATAAGTGTTGTATGCGAGAGGATAATGTTTAAGGATAATAATCAAAAGTAATTGTTCATAATGAATTTAATTAAAGTTCGGAATCTTTAATTAAAACATTATTAATACATGTCATTCCCATTTAGAATAGAACGGTGTTATCCGCACTGTTAATATGGCGAGATATTGAATGAGTGTATTTCGCATAATGAGATTATGTGGAACATGGACGCAGATACAATATGAATTTCTAATAATTTCCGATAAGCATAGAAATTCTAATTGAGTCTACCGATGGTCATATATAGGATAATCTTAATCCTGAGTTCTTAACAAACTCCTATTTATGGATTTATGTCTTTTGACTTACTCGGTACGGATTTCGAAACGCTGAATCCTATTCCTTGTATTTTGGAGACATAATGAAATAGGTAGCTGGGAATGTTATTATACGAGATGGAATCCATTCCTTCTTGAGAAAGAAGCAGACACTAGTGCAATAGAAACTCGGGAGAAAGAGGAAAATATGCCAAGATTTGAGATGAATTAAAATTAATAGGTCAATAGTTTACATAAGTTAATAAATAGGTTAAATTACTGTTTTTGTCCATAACTTGACTAGTTATGAACCATAACTTGACAAGTTATTGTCTATTTTTGTCCATAACTTATCTGACTATCAATCATAACTTAATAAATTTATTCATAACTTATCTAATTATGAACTATAACTTAAAAAATTATAAACTATTAATTTTTATAACTAAAAATTAACCTATATACTTTTTAAAATTTTTCATATCGGCGTATTTTTTACTATTTACCGAGAAGTACTAGCACAAAAAAGCGCACTGCTAGTGAGGCTTTGGGGTTTTACATCAGTCTTGGCATTTCAGTTCCTTCGAGTTCCGTCATCAGTTGTCGTTCCAGCGATTTCGGAAGGAGAACAACAAGCGATTGAATCGAATCGAATCGAAGAAGATGTGGTACTTGTGCGTGTTCTACCACAGATTGTTGGACTACAGGAAAGCCGAGGTCGAATCTCTCGCCCACCTTTTCGGAACTTTCGACGCCGACGACGACAATTACTCCCTGGAATGGAGGCTTCCCCAGCACCACCACTCAGATTCCCCTTTCCACTTCGTCAATCTCCCCTCCGAAGATATCGCTCGCAAAATCGCCAACCGAAGTAATTACCGTTTTTCCATTTCCGTTTCTTCTTTCAATTTGTTCTGCGACTCATTGGAGCGTTTTTTTTTTCTGTGGGTTATTGTATTAGGTATACTTGTGAAAGGAATGTATGAGCTTTGGGGAGAAGGCAGCAGCTACGAGGAATTGGAAGAGGCTGTTAAGAGATATCCGGAGGAGCGGAAATTGCCCTACTTGGATTCTGGAAGCACTTTCAAGATCAATGTCGATAGCTTTGGGAAGGTCCTCAGCTTTCAGGAACAAAATCAACGCATGCAGAGTCTCACTTACATCCCTTTCAAGGTTTTCCCTTCTTTCTTTCCCCACTTTTGATGATTTTTCGTTATATATATATATATATACATATATATTTGTTCAGATAGGAGTAGAATACCGGATGCAATTTTGCGCAGTCTTTTTAAGTGTATTTATTAGTATGAATTGTTTCTTATTCACATCTTTTTTTTTTTTTGGGTCGAAATTTGCTATTTAAACTTGTTATATAGTTACCGGACATTTTCATTTGGGTCCTTCTATGGTGAACTCCCGACAATTGTGCTTGTTCACTAGTCTATTGTAACTTTTATAA